AACAATTATTTTGACATTAGCATTATAACTATTATTATTCCTCAAATTTAAAGCCTATGAAACAAGATATTAAAATTCAAAATCATGACATCATCCCATTTAGCAAAACAGTCTGTAGATTTAACTTTGTTGTTAAATATGAAGAAATAATTTTATTTTAACAAGCTAGTGGCATAACTGTTTACCTTGTCTAAATTACAAAACATCCATATAATTAGTCAAGTTCTAGCTCAATAATGAAATGACAGATGGATTAACTATTGGTATAATTTTAGGCCTTCTTTTCTACAATTTTTAAAAAAAGGACTTTTAAAGAAAATGAATCTACTATATACAGGTTGTTTTTTTTTTTTAAACTGACAGTACTCAAAGACATCTGTAGTGCAATTTAACAGCTGGACTGTTGCCAAATTTGGGAGAGTGACTAAGGACGACATGGGAAATATGCCATGAAGAAAATTAGTAGTACCCAAATTTGCTGGTAGGAGTGGATTTGGCACTGTTGTAGTGAAACAGCTAATAAATTTGAATAAAACCCAGCTGCAATTACTAAACACAAATGAATAATCAGACAGAGGTTTCACTGAATAACAAAAGTTTAATTAATCAGCAAATAACCTTCTCCCTCCTTCAATGTGACCACCATCCTGCTGGACAACACATTGCATCCTGAACACCATGTTCTCTATGGCTGAACATAACATGTCCGCGGGAACGTTCATCAGTTTGAAAAATGTTGTCCTTCAAGGTCAAGTTTGGGACACCACCAAGATAGACCTTGGACTTTAAGTAACCCCACAGGAAAAAGTCACATGGGGTTAGATCCAGGGAGTGAGGCAGCCATGCAAACGGAAAAAAAGCAACTGATGACCCTTTCTTCAGTGAAGTGCTGGTGCAACACATTCCACACCGTGAGACTAATGTGTGGTGGTGCTCCATCTTGCATAAAGATTGTATCATCCAGGCATTGTCGTTGCTGAAGTTGTGGAATGACAAAACTAGTAAGCATATCACAATACCTTTCCTTAGTAACAGTACAGATATGTGGTCCTGTTTGAGTGAGGTTCTCAAAAAAGAATGATCCGATGATGAAATCTGCTCTAAGCCACACCAAACAGCAAGTTTCAGTGAATGCAATGGGATTTGCACAACCTCCTGGATGCCCAAATGCAACAATTTTGAGTGTTCACAACCCCATTTAGATAAAAATGGGCCTCATCTCCCCAGAGAATTATCCACAACCACCTCCATCCTGGCAAGAAATGTCAGAGCAAATGTCAACTGTGTAGCATGGTCATTTGGTTTTAATTCTTGCAGGCAGCTTATCATGTATGGCTAGAACTTGAGAACTTTTCACAGAACTTGCCATACTGTCAAAGACGTCATTTCCAAATTGTCATGCCACTCCCCGGGCGCTGCTACTACCAGCAATGGTCCCCTGTGAACCTTCAATGAGTAGAGTCGCAAAATCACTAACTGTCTATGCAGACACCAGTTTCCACCCTTTACCAGGATGAACTGCTAAAGATCCTGTCTCTTCAAAAATTTCTTTAATCAAGTTTTTCAATGCATTAATTGATAGAGGACCTCTGCACAGGTTGTTATGGGTTCTAAACTCATGAAGACTGCCCGGTGCACTTGATTGGTTAAGATAATAAAGTTTCACAAGCAATGCACGCTGAGATAACAAAAGATCCATGTTGAACTCTACTGATGTCTGGAATGTGCTTTGGATTTTTGTCATTGTCTTGCACCAAATTAGGTGGCGCTGCTGTCGACCACGTCATTGTGAATTTGGATTGAGGTGTTACCAGCGTGTTATGCAAATTCTTAGTTGTTTTGCTACAACAGTGCCAAATCCACCCCTACCGGCAAATTTGGGTATTACTATTTTTTCTTTGCAGAATCTTTTTCCCATGTCTTCATTAGTCACACACTCAAATTTGGCAACAGTCTGGCTGTTAGATTGCTCTACAGATGTCTCTGAGTACTGTCAGTTAAAAAAAAAAACACCCTGTATTTCAATATCAACTAACTTAAACTAATATTAACTCTAGATGCTGCTACACTGTTTCAAATTCAACATAACAATCACATAATTCAAATTGAGAATCTTTGTAGTGATACAGAAAGGTAATGGTTTCTTTTATACTAAAAAGTTTTAGATTAGATTAAATTTCTTTAATTGATGTAGTCATCAATGAACTAAGTGGCCACTTTTAACCAAAACAATCTCAGATTAATCTGATCAGATTCTTCTAGATCAAAGTCAGTAGTTGTTACCAACTAGTGTGCTCCAGCATGTGCACACACATGCTTGGCAGTCATTTTAAGTGTGTTATCAGATGAATAAAATTAATTATAAGCAAATTTCAAAAAAATATGGAAAAAATTGTGTTAACATTAACAAACTTCTGAATAGTAGTTAAGATAGTTTACTGGTACAATGTCTTATGACAAATGTTTTCCAGTCAAGCAATATTTAATAAAGCATGTTTTAATGTTTGCATGATTTTTGAACTTAGGCACATCTAAAACAAAGTTGGAGACAACTGATATAATATTATAGCAGTTTACATCTTAGAACTCAATTACATGGCAAGAATAATTTGCATAGTGTGGGACAAACGAATTCAATAATTTAGTATATAATTTAATTTATAGATAATAGATATCTAAATGCCATCTGTTGTGTGCCCAAGTCATCTTGTGCTCTCACCAAAAGCATCCCTTCATTTTCAGGTGCCATTTTGCTTTAGTTTTGGCATGTTCGGTTAAATAAGCTATACATATTAACCATCCAAGAAATTATGAAAGCCTAAGAATGGATGTAGCATCTACAATTGAGATGAGAAAGGAAAATCATCACTAAGCATGAAAGTGGTATACATGCTGGATCTGGTAACTCTTCAGTATATTAAACACAGCTAACAGTGTGCACCGTTCTTAAGAACAATAAAGCAATAAAAACAGTAAATGTGGCTAAAGGTGTGACAACAGTGACCTCAATTAAGTCATGTTATTGAGATGAAAAATACACTAGTGTGGATAAATGGGGAGCAATTGGCCAGTGACAGAATTATTTGAGAATTTCAAGCAGCTACATAATGACATTAAACAGGACATCTCACTAAGATATAGTAAATGCAATTTTTTTTATACAGTATTTACATATTTATTGTTTTCATGTTTTAGTTTATTATTTAGAGAATAACTTGTCATATCTGAAATTATTGTATAGTATTTCCACATAAGAGTATGCTCTTATGCATTCTAGCTTGCTTTGACATAAGACCCCTGCACTGCTGTGTCAAAATGTAAATGTAATAATAAAGTAACTCTTCAGTAAAATCTGTGGAACTTTTTAAAGTATCTGAAGTATTTTTGTTTTTTAATAAGGTTTTTAAAAATACTTTACAGTACTTTGTACTTTTCTGTTACGGGATGCCAGTTGTAGTTGTAATTTCATGTGATACTGTCATCTTATTGACAATGAAAAAGAGTGAGAATAATAAAAAGTAGTTTTAACAGAACAAAATAATTAAAACTTGAATAAAAATCACAAAGATGGTTTAAAATGAAAAAAAATTAGAACCTGTTAAATTCCTAATCTGCTTTGCATCTCTTTTGTGTCTTTTTGTTGTGATGTTTGACATCACATGTACATTTCTACAAAAGTTTATTTCTTTTGAAATGTACTTTGACATAATAAAATAGCCATTTCTTTACACAGTACCATATATACATTGAATGGCATACCATTAACAAAAATAAAAATATAGAAAAATGTTAGGTACAATTTTTTGCTTAAAATGTTATTACACCCAATTACTTAATGAAATTCTAAATAAAATTTCATTAAAAATGTTTCTAATTTAGTCTATTTATAAATTATTACTAGTGTTATCTTTCTAGGAATAAAGGTTAGAAAAATTAATGGGGAAACCAGACAAGAATACACTAACCAAATAATCATTATTCAGTTATTACAATATACACTTCACTAAAATGTTCAGCAAAATATTGCATAATTTTATAAAAACTTCCATTTTTGGTTGGGAAGGAAACAATACAGAAAATTATATTATTTAAACAAAAATTTATAAAAATTTCTTATTTTAAAATCATGATTCACTATCAAAAACAAACAGCAACTTTATCTACAATTTTAACATGACCCAATATTTTTAGCATTAACAACGTTCAGAAATTCACTTTACCAAATAACCTAATTTCACCAAAAGAACAATGAAGTATGAACCTATTAGAATTTGAATAAGTTCCTTCTTTCAGTATATTTTATATCAAATATGCTTTCAATTCCTGTATTTATCTTGTCTTTTTTTTTTTAATTGGAAAATGTTTTTTATTTGTAACCAATATAAGTAAATAACATTATTTATTTATAAATTTCTTAATGTTTAAGGTCAAAAAAAGGTATTTTAATTAATTTAAGGCATTTAAATATCTAAAATATTCTGCATTGTGAATATGAACTGAAGTAAACCGGAAGGAAGTAAGTACTATATTTAGATTCCAAAGTTCCACAAGAACGGTATCAAAAATATAAAAAGACCAATTGATCGAATATTCTGACTATTTAAAGCAAAACCGAAAGTATGTCTATTAAACTCTCCATTACGGCATTTAATCGTATTAAAAAACGGTGAAGATTAATGTTTAATGCTAATAAAGTACAAATGTACTGTACACACACATTATTAATATTGTTTTGTAGCTTTAGTTTATAATTTATTCAGAATTTTTCGAAAAGGATTCCTATGATGATGATGCAATTGCATTTCAGATAGGCCTAAAGTTACATCAATCGTTCGGTCGCCATTTAAAAATATTCTTTCCTTCTATGTTCTTTTATATATTTCCTGTTTTTATTTTGTTAAATATACATTTACTTAAGTCCTTAATGGATTTATTTGCGTAATTTCGATGGAATTGTTAGATTTACGTTTGCATTTATGACGAAAAAATTGGATACTTACTCTACAAGCTTTCCTTTGACGATCACCGTTGTCAAGGTAACGCTTTAGCGTCTGAGATGAAAGCGGGGTCTCACCACTGAACACAAGGAAGGAGAAATGAAGGGCGTACTCTCGTCCGTTTCGAGGTTAATAAAATTATAATTTTTCCCCCTTCTTTATTAAAATATGTAAATTAATATTTTTTTAATTGTAAACTTTAAAATATTTGTATATATTGATATAATTTTAAACACGTAATAATAATTCTAATGTAATATTTTATCATCTTTTATTTTAAATTTGAGAATATTTTTTATCTAATGAAATTTATTTTTCAAATTTTTAATTTTATTTTCTTATTTACATACATTAACTTAAAAATTAATTATTATAATATAATTTCAAAAACTTTAAATTAATTTTTAAAAAATTCAAATTAAATAGTAAAACGGCTTAAATATACCGGGATAAAAAAAACAACCACTGACATAATCCGTTTCAAATAAAACAAGCTATGTCATTGGCTGGCTTATACAGATGTATTAAAACCGCTTAATCAGGCAATGTGCCCAATGGAATGTTACAAAAATTAAATTTGTAATAAATTTATTTTAAATTAAATTTTAAAAAGTTGTAATAATTTAATTTTTATTTTCCATTCAATACAGATTATTAAAATCAGAGTTTTATATAATTTAAATGAAAGAAATGATGTATTTTAAAAATGGTTTCAAGAATACACGTACTACAGACTGAAAACTGTTTTATCTATATTTGTAATGTATAAACTGATGACTTGAATTAAGTCTATAAATATATGACGTCAGCAATAATTTAATGATTATGACGCGACAAATTATAATGATACTTAATTTTTAGAATGAAAATACTGTACAGTATACACAAATTCATGTTTTATATTAAAAATTCAGATAGAGTTTATACATTTCTAAATTTTTATAAATAATTATTTGGCTGCAATTTTTAATTTATAACCTATAAATTCCTACTAGCGTCAGTCTGCCTGTTTGTATGTCTGTCCTTCCTGAATCTCGAGAACGGAGTTAGATGAATGATATGACTCTATTGTTAACCGGAAAAGTATGATGTAGAGGGACAAGACACTGCTAAAATAGAAAGAGTATAATTTAAATTAAATTAATTAAAGATATGATTAAAAATTGCAGCCCGGCATTGTGACGATGTCAATAAATACTTGCTCGTTAAATATTCTATCTCTGAGCATTTTCTCTTGTCATCTGAGTATTATTTCTGCAGTAACAAAATATTTGTATTAATGATACAAATGTTTCGTTACTGCATCTAATGTCCGTGCCCGAACTGACGCGGGTTCAGACCTCTGTAATTAAACTATGGATGTGTCTAGTTATTAAATTGATAAGTCAATGCACTAATTACTTAGTTCGTTTCTTATGAAAAGGATTGGTCTTTAGTCATTTAGTCATACCAATACATTTTTCCCCCTGACATGCCCTCTTTTCGAACGTAAAATGTTTAAGGCGGATTTTACAGATATAGATTACACTAACGTCTAGACCAGGTGTGTCCAACCCGCGGCCCAAGGCAAGTTCCAATGAGGCATAATAAACGTGTAAACAAAACAAAAATTTTTTAATTTTATTTTTATAAATGATAAGCGATGATTAATAAACTAACCAGAGAAGAAGTCAAGCTATTGGCGCTGTTTACCACAGGCGGCATGACGGCCGGATGGCCGAGCGGTCGAGGGGGCAGCCTATCGCTCTGGGGACCACAATATACTTGTAAATGACTTCCATGATTTCTTCCAATGTGGCCCAGAGAAACAAAAAGGTTGGACACCCCTGGTCTAGACCTTGAGTGAGCATTAGTTCTAAATATATGCCGCCTGTGGTTTTTTCTTTTTACTCTTTCCTCCCTGTGGGCACTAGGAGGGCCTCTTAAGGCAGGGCCATTATGGGTTCGGCCAGGCCCACAATGGGGCGGCCGGGTGGTGAGGGACGGGGCCCGACATATCCGAACGGACCACTCCCCGAAAGCTTCCTGGGGATTCTTTGACCCGTACGGATTCGATCCCGAGTCCCCCAGAGCGGTGGGCTACCACCTTAACCGCTCGGCCATCCGGCCGTCATGCCGCCTGTGGTAAACAGCGCCAATAGCCTGACTCGATTTGTGGTATTTTCTGGTCATAATTACAAATTATGAATGCTTTATTCGTAATTAGTCTAATTACTATCAGTTAAAAATGAAAATAAATTAAATACAGTATTTAGAAAGAAGACATCTTACTTATGAATTAACTCGTAAGATTTTAAAGTGAAATTATGAATAAAATAAAAAGCGATTTGAGTTGATATTTTCTCACTCTGAGAAGCGCTTCAGGAAATCTTTTTTTGGCTACGAACTTCTACAATTCCAAAGCTATGTCAGAATTGTAAACAAGAAATCATGATATAGTGAAACCTCCATTAACGGACATTCTAAATAACGGACGCCGTCGTATATGACCAACCTTATGAAAACAATGTATCGCCTTCAATATTCAGAAATAATTAATTACGTACGAAATATTTTAAAACTAAAATAAAGAATTAATTCAAATACGTTTTCAGAGGACGAATTTTGACAGTAGGCGTCGAGCAAAGATGCTAAAAATAGAAATGGAGGGAAGAGCAAGTTGTAAAAACCGAACAATACTCTTTATCTATTAGGAAAGATTAATCTGGTTAATTTGTTAATCATCACTTATCGTCATACTTATTAAACTTTTGTGTTATTATCGAGGTGCGGCCGGTTTACGTTTACGCGTTGGAAACTTCGGCCGCAACCTCGCTGTTGTTGGAATTAAGCATATGGTACCGAGAAACCATAAACTTTACTCGAGTTAATCATTCATTCAACAAGAACCGTAGTAGAGTAGTAACGAAAAGATGGGTGGATAGTCGAAACAGCCTACCGCTCCGGGGATCCGCGATCGAATCCGGACAGGTCGAAAAATCCCTAGGAATTTTTCGTGAGATCGTCCGACCGGATATGTCGGGCCCCGTCCCTCACCACCCGGCCGCCCTATTGTGGGCTTGGCAGAACCCATAATGGGCTCGCTAAAAGAGACCCTCTTAGTGTCCACAGGCAAAGAGTAGAACAAAAAATTTCTCAACGGGGTGGCCGGGTTTTTTTCTTTCTTTCTTTTTACTCTTTCCACCCTGTTAATACTAAGAGAGTCTCTTTTAGCAAGTCCATTATGGGTTGTGGATCTATCCGAATTACGGTTTCTCAAACGACCGGGATCCCGTGATCCCAGTAGTTTGAGCAATTTCCAGCAAACTTTTAAAAAAACAACCGGGATCCCGGGATTCCGGTTGTTTTTTTAACCCGGAAAATATCCTGGGAAATTCTTCTCATCCCGGGAAATCCCGCAAATTTCTTAAAAGTTCACTTTTTTTTTTATTTTGTGTTAATGTTAAGGAAATTTTGCAAATAGAAAGTATAATTAACACATAAATTGTCAGAATACATTTGTATTTATTAATTTTAAACCTACTTATTAGTTTTTGTAATTTTTCCTCGTTATGGCATGTCACAAATGGTCAATAATCAGTAGGTAGCTTATTTGTGGCAGGACTGAAAATTTTTTACTTGTCGGAACCTGTAATATCTGGAATAATTGTGCTTACGCTTCTTAATTTTTAATTAACCATGCCCGGTAGCATCGATAACTGCGTAACGTCAGATTGTGCAAATTGGGCAAGGGTATAAACGAGTACGAAGTTTGCAAGTATGAAGTTTTTCTTCATAAACCTAATTATTAATTTAAATTGAATTGCCGAATTATCGGGATATAAGCTTGATGCCGCTATTAAAGCAGCCTAGGTAGACAAATCGAGAATACTAGAGAACAAAAGAAGTACTACAATCTCGAAAACGAACTCGAAATCTTCCAAACTACAAAATGAAAAAAACATATAACATCTGTCTTCTCTTAAATGCATTAAAGACGATTCCACTAACATCAATTAAATCGGAAAGGGCATTCTCGCGGGACTTTTCATTACTCTGGTCATAATTACAAATTATGAATGCTTTATTCATAATTAGTCTAATTACTATCAGTTAAAAATGAAAATAAATTAAATACAGTATTTAGAAAGAAGACATCTTACTTATGAATTAACTCGTAAGATTTTAAAGTGAAATTATGAATNAATTCAAAACATTTTTTTTGTTGTTGTTGTATGCAGTTTCCAGCAAACTTTAATTAATTTTTTTCTATTTGTGAAAATTTCTACGTTATTTAAAGGTAATTTTTATTATAGGCCTATAGACCTTACACAGCATTATTATGATTTTGGAGGTTACAGAACTTTAAAATTACTTTTAAAAATGGAAAATAATTATATCATTTGATTTCAAGATATTTTGTATACTTTAAAAATAATTGATTCTATCCCGGGATTTCCCGGGATCCCGGGAAACAGTTCACTTTTATCCCGGGATCCCGGGACAAGCAAAAGACCGGGAAATGAGAAACCCTAGTTACGATGTTACACTACCGGGTGAACATAAGAACGATACAAGTGTACACCTGGCAAAGATGAAATCAAATATTATTATTTTGTATATCTTAAAAATAATTCTGTTCCGGGATTTCCCGGGATCACGGGAAACAGTTCACTTTTATCCCGGAATCCCGGGACAAGCAAAAGACCGGGAAATGAGACACCCTAATCCGAACCCACAGTAGACTTAATAGGCCGGATGGCCGAGCGGTCAAGGTGGCAGCCTACCGCTCTGGGAGACCCGGGTTCGAATCCGAACGGGTCGAAAAATCCCCAGGAATTTTTCGGGGGGTGGTCCGTTCGGTTATGTCGGGCCCCGTCCCTCACTCGGTTATGTTGGGCCCCGGCCGCCCCATTGTGGGCCTGGCCGAACCCATAATGGGCCTGCAAAAAGAGGCCCTCTTAGTGCCCACAGGGCGGAAAGAGTAAAAAAAAAGTAGGCTTAATAAAAAATCCTTTTAGTATCCACATACTGAAGGAGATGATTAAAATTTTCCAAAGATAAGGCCAATCGGCAAAACCCCCTTTGTGTACTTAGGCAATAAGGTGAAATTAAATCAACATGAAATTGTTGTAAAATAATAAGCAGAGAGAAATAGTAATTGATAATCAACTATTTTATGATAGCGGTGCATACTTTATCGTTTTACTTATACTGTAACATTTTTTTTCACCGTCAAAACATACAAATATCTGAATATAATGTTTATATTTTTTAAAAATACACACACACAAAAAAAATATATATATATACAGTATACTGTATATATATTTCTTACATTTCTCACATATTTTCGCGATATTTTGCGATTAAACTACTGTATATATATGTACAGTACTGTATAACCATGTCATAAGTATGAAATCATAAGCGGCAAATTCTAAATTTTGCAGTTTTGCAATAATAGATTATTTTTATATTTGACACTTTTAGTTTGGGACTGTAAGCATATAGGTAAAATTTTAAACGATTACATAAATTAACAAAGATTTGGCAGGCGAATGGCCAAAAAAAATTGCTATTTTTCGTTGGTCCCATTTTCTGAAAATTAGTTTTACACTTATCCGAATAAATTTCTATACACACAATATATTTGAGTGTTTATATATTTGTAATTTGTAGTTTAAAAGTTGAATTAATTTTTTTGGCATCCAGGATATGCATGCTTGAATAGCCGGATGACCGAGACGGTTAATTAAGACGCCAGCGTACATCTCTGGGGAATCCAGGATCGAATCCTGGCTTGCAACGCCAGAAATTTTTCATGAGTTGTAAGTCCCGGGTATGTCGGACACCTTTCCTCACGAGGTGGTCGTTTCGTTGTGGTACTAGCCAAATCCGAAATGGGCCTGAAAAAGGCCTTCTTCGCGATCTCAGAGAGGAAAGACTTACAAAAATATGCTGGTGCGCTATAACTATATTATTATTCGAATTGTTTATTTCAGATTGAATCATATACTCGAGTCTAATATCAATCTGTAAGTACGGTACTTTAATTATTCGAATTAAAGTAATTATAGTAAAAGTGAATAAAAATTGTTGAATGATAAATGATAGGAAGTGACAAGTGAACATCGGGAATTACTTTAAAATTGTTTTACAAATCAAAAATATTCCTTAAAATTCTTTTAAGAGTTATCTATTAAAAATTTGTAAGAAAATTATTAAATATTCTGTATATTTGAATTTTTTTACGATAATAATTTTAATATGGAAAAACTGGCAACACTTACTCCAATTTCCGACGAACGAAACCGGAACACGTGTATTTGTATGTTTATTTATTTGATTTACTTTTTAATATACACAATCAAAAAGTAAAAATTTGAAGATATATATATATATTTGTATAAGTCACAGTCTATCGTAAGTATATTTTAAGATGTCATTTAGATATGATAATCAGCAGATTAACATTACTATAGTAAATAAACTATCAGAAACTTTGTCAGCTTCCATTTGTAAAAATAAGACATTATTTTGCTTTTCTCTTTAGAAAACAGGCATATAGCTCACTTATAGCCCTTAATATACGCGTCTCCCCCAAATAATTCTATGTGTTTAAGACACGTCTACTAGAGAGGTGTCTAAAGAGCAAAATTAGAAAAAAAGAGCCCATGCAGTAAGGATAAACTTTTACCCTTTGGTGTATATATTTCCTCATGTTTCACAAATCTGGAACTTATCAAAAAATCTGTTAACCTTTTCAACAGTTTTCAGATTACTTGCTTGAACACTGTCTTGGCATAATCTTAAATATATTTAGGTGTGTGAATTAATTTTGAGGGATTTTTTTTTAGCTAAAGAATGTATTTATTACAAAAAAACAAAACAACTTAGGCTAATCAAAGTATTTCCTTTTTTTTTTTCCTTCAAATTTTTCCATTTTTCTGATAAGAGATGAATACCACAACAATAAAATGATTCATCTTTTGAGGCAATCCATTCGTCAACGAATTTTTGCTTTTCATACAAATTGGCAAATTGCTTATCTTCGAGGTGCATGTTGCATTGAACGGAAAAAATGGTAGTCCAATAGAGCCAAGTCTGGAGAATGTGGGGTGTGGAAGGGCTTCCCATTTGAGCTCCAACAACATTTACTTCACTGCAGAAGCAATGTGTGGCTGAGCATCATCACGCAAAAGGGTTGCTTTGCATCATTTATTCACAACTGATTGGCTTTTTTGTCCAGCATGCTTTAAACTATGCAGCTGTTCTCCTCTGTAACAGTTAACACCTTCAAGTAAACTATTCCTTCTTGATCCTACCAAATACTCAGCATAACCTTGCAACCATGAATATTCAACTTTAGTATCGATGTTGACAGTTGACCAGGGTCACACAGTGATCTTTTATGTTTGGGATTATCTAAATAAATCCATTTTTCATCACCAGTCACAATCTGATACAAAAAACTTTTTTTTTTTTTTGTCTGGCAAGCAAGGACATCCAATTCAATTAGTTTGCAATATTCGTGTGACATCCATTTTCATTCCTTCAGTTTTTTTCTCCATGGCATATAAATGTTTGGTGACTATTGTTCAGTCAACATTCAAATGCTTTTGCTAGTTCTGATGTGGTTTGAGTTTCATCTTTGTATAATTTCAATTTGACATCTTCAAACTTTTTTGGCTGTTTCAAGCATTTTTGTCACTAACATCAAAATCACCAATCTTAAACCATATAAACTAGTACTCACAGGTTTTAACTGAAGGAAAAGATTCTTTGTAAGTTTTGACAAATAGCTGCAGATAATCTGGTGATTATCTGCAGCTATTTTTTTCTTGTGAAAAAATAAAGTAACAGATGCCAAAAATGCTCTTTTGGAAGCTCCATTTCAATACTTATAAAAATCCAACTCTTAACTTATCTACTGTTTTTAACTTATTGAACACTAACTATAATGTTGAGAATTTAAACAAGTAATAAATACGAGGGAGGACCCAAAAAAACTGAACTGAGAACTCTGCCATTTGTAGACATAGTAGAGAGTTCTCCCGTTACATGGGGTTAATAGAAACCTTCACGAAACAGCTGTGCAAATGGTGTCAGTTTGTAGGTTTATGTTTCAGCGTAGTGTTGTGTTTCTCTTACTGTTATTTTGTTCCGCCTGCGAAGTTCTGGGTGTCCTTGAACATCTCGAAACAATGAAAACATTGAAAAAAATCAATCAAAAAAGTGTTAAGACGTCTGCGAGAGGATGTGCGAAGGAAACACCCAAAACTTTGGCAATCAGGTGACTGGTTCCTTCATCACGACAACGCCCCCACACACATGGCCTAATGAGTGACCCACTATTTGGCCTCTTGGGGATGACTTGTCGTTCCCCACCCTCTGTATTCACCAGACCTAGTCCCGTGCGACTTTTTTCTGTTTCTGAGAATAAAGAAAAATCTAAAAGGGAAGCATTTTGATGTGGAGGCAATAAAAACAGCTTTACTAAGGGTACTGGACGATATCAAGGTTGAAGAGTTCCAGAGATGCTTCAAACAGCGGGGAAAAAGACTTGACAAGTGCATCACATCTAATGGAGAGTACTTTGAAGGTGACTGAAGGAATTTTGTAAAAAGGTTAATAAATAAAGCTTTTATACAAAAAATCTGGTTTTTTTTTGGTCCCCCCACATATAATTCAGATTTGACTGCTAAAATTTACAACTAGAGTCTTTTTTGAAAACCCTCAAAATTAATTCACACTCCTAAATGACTGAAATTTTAGATGAAAGACAAATACTTCATCTGATAAATGAAGTACATGATTTCTGAGTCAGATGGCTGGGTCAACATCCACCCAGTTCCTACTTTGATATGTTAACCCTCTTTTGTACAACTAATGGACACAGTAAGACGAAGACCAAGCATTCATTCAATTATGGCAATAGATCAGCCAAGTCACAAGCATCAATAGGCTTGGCAAGTCTGTGATGGAGATAAAAAAGATCCTCTTAGTATCCATAAGGTGCTTCATTTATACATTAATTAAATGTATTCTGTGACAAAGTTTGTTTTCTAATTATTGACTAGCTGTAATTGGTTTGGAAAGCCTATGATGGGGTGCAATGTATCATGATCAAATTACCCATTAATTTTTATTAATAAGAAAATAATTGCATCTTTTAAATCAAATATGCTTAAAAACAATATAATAATAAATGTTCATCAGTATTGTTAACATTATTTATGTTGTTTTCTATGATATACCTTTATACATTAATTCTGTAAAATGAGAAATCTATTTTGATATATATACAAACATCACCCAACCCGATATATAATAAAGCTACATACCAACAGACTGCCGAAAATCTATCGGGCTAGTTTTATGCTAATTATTAAATAAATTACGTAATCAATTTGGCACTAGAGGTAAGCGTTAGGCGCCATCTCTTATTAATATTAATAATTATAAATAAATTAATTAATTTAAATAATTTAGAACCGCTGGGAGAAAAAATCGGCCCGGAGCGGGACTCGAACCCACAACTCCTGCTTACCGTGCAGATGCGTTGCCAGTTACGCTATCCGGACCTCCG